AATCCTTAACTTGAATGTGTTCACCATTAAACCAGAATAAAACCTGTAGTATGAAGTCATTTAATTCTTAACTTAGTTCCTTAGTTATGGGAATGGAGTTGGTTTTCAGAATAACAAAAAACTAATAATTTAAGACTGATCAGTTAACAGATATCTAAATAAGACTTTAAATCATTACGATTCACTTTTTTACAGCTAAATTAGTAAGTAAGAATTGATTAGTCCACAATGCCGACTTCAATCATTTTGTGTTAAAACATGACTATTATTCATGGTTGTCAGTTATAATCACATTTTATCATTTGCATCTTCTTACTAAACACTTTATGAATTTATCTAAAAGTTATTAACATTTTCTCTGTTTCCCTATATCTATCAATTTCTTTATTCTACTTACATAACATCCATCTATAATACTCGGTTATCAAAAAAAATGATAACACTTAATTATGCCGGTTTATATTTTTGGACATAACTTATATTTTTCCATTAGAATGTATTTATCATTTGGTTTTAAACAAAATTATTTTAAAAAGTGCTAATAGAAATTTAAAACAAACTATATCCTTTCAGTGTCATGATAGAAAACTTAAACAAAAAAAACAAAAGAATGTACTACTTCACGCTTAAGTATGTCTCAACTTGTAAATTATGACAAGGAAAACTAAGAAAATTGTATTAGGTACGTTATTAGAACTATGTAGTTGTGTGTATGTTCATATAGACTCTGTTAATAAACTTTAAAAGAATTAAATGGCAACTTGTATTTCATGCTTTCTCTCCGGTACACATACAACACAATCAAATAAATGAAGGAAAATATATGTAGTTAGCTAGAAGTATAAAAGGAATATGGTTTAGTATGCCCATATGTGTATTATATATATATATATATATATATATGTCAATGGATATATGTGTTGAGATGTAATTGCTTATATGTAATGTAACAGATTTCTAGACTGGTTGAATGAATTAACGTATGATTGACTTGGGACAACAACGTAAAAAGGTAAAATGATAATGTTGGGAAATTTTTCACCATTTTGATTGCAATAATGAGAAATAATCTTAAAATCATTCATTAAGCTTCATTCACACAATAACAGCAATACTAGTGGTTATAACTAAAGTTATAATGAGGCATAAAAATTACACAGAACGGAAATAATAACGTGTATTTTCAAAAATAGGATTCACTGAAATCAAATAGCGTGATGATCGACATTGTATGATTTCATTGTGTTTTTGTAGGGGTGTGAGTGAGTATTTTTATGGGCTTATTATTTTCCTTAGTGTAACAACGTATTCACATTATAATGGACTCTTTATTATATATACATATATATATTACTTCAGTAATATATGTTGATAAAGATGAAATTGTCGTGCTGCAATTCGTTAGAAAAAAAAAGAGCAATTATCTAATTTCCTTGTATTTCAAACTAAATTAACTTTGATTAATTTTAAAAGAAAAAAAATAATTTTATTAATTGCTATCCAGTCTTGTTTTTTCAAATGAGCAACATAATACTCAATTGAACAGTGAATTACTTTTTCTATTTTTTTAAAAAAAAAGGTGTATGAACTAGCTATTCTATGCATTTTTTTAATAACTCAAACTGTGGAATATGGATAGGGGATATTTAGATTTTTAATCGTTTAAAGATCTCCATCATATTAAAAGACTAATATTTGAACGAAGAATAATATTCTTTTCGATAAATTCTCTTCAGGTTTTACGATGATATATCCAAATTCAAAATCCGAATAAATAGTCAGTATAAAGTCCATCACAATGATTCAAAGACCTATTATGTGATTTGGTTAAATAGAATACAGAATACTGATATGCTTCTTCAGTAAATAAGTTACTTGAGCCTGCTTCTATGAATATAAACTTCTGAGAATCATTGAATAAGAAATAAATTCTCTTCAGGTTCTACAATGATATATCCAAATTAATAAATGGTCAGGTTAAATGCAAAGTACATTGTTTAAAGCAATGTAAATTTAGGATTGTCAAATCAAGTAGAATAAAATTGTAAATGTTGGTATGACTCATATAGAATGTTAACACTTAGATCTGTATATATGTTAAGTGAAAATTTAAGATCTGTGATCAGAATATAAATATGGGTCCGATAGGGTGAGAGAGATATGATAGTGCAATTACAATTCGATCAAGTGGAAGTTTAAATTGTGTGATAAATTAGTAAGACGTAATAAGGAGGGATCAATGCTAAGTGAATGAATCATGTCTAGGGGAGATTAATAATGTTGTTTAACTAATAATAATAATTTTTATAGAGTTGAGATCATGAGTCAATTGAAGCTAGACTACCATGGAAAACCTGGAAGCACTGGACGGCCGTTTCGTCCTATTATGGGACTCCTCAGCAGTGCGCGTCCACGAACCCACTCTCGCGGGATTCGAACCCAGGACCTACCACTTTCGAGCCGAAGCCCTTAACCGATAGACCACTGAGCTGGAGATAATTCTTCTGTATGCATAGCCCAGGTTTCTTCATTCGGATGGCTACTGCCTCAGCCGTTTTAAGGACTTCAAGCCTGACAAGCTTTGACAAAAAATTACTGATCGCATAAATAATTAAAAAGGATTGGTTTATACTGACACTATGACCAGTTTGTACTAAACGGGCCAATATCGAGTTTATTAGTTTCCTCACTAAACCTTTGTTCAGCCAAGTGGGGAGGTGTTCGCAAGCACGAAAATGTAAATTCCTAGAACTTCAACCAATACAACTTGCTCCACAGGAGCAGTCGAACTGATAAATACAAAATGAAGTGATCATTCTAGACAATTCATCTTTTAGCCTCGTGTCACCATTAGGGGCGTAGAAAACACTAAATGTAGTTCACCAGCGTTGAAAGATTTCTGGATTGTTCTGCGTAATCTCTGAGTTAGTGTTTCATTAACTACATCGCCTCTGAATTGTAGGCGTATAAACAAGGACTTCTTTTAACTGTTTGAATTTCGCCTATTTTCATTTTTGTGATCATACATTCATTATATTATATATTAAATTTTTCACAGAAATTGAATAATGAAACTAGTTATTTTGAAATGAAAAAGAAGCTAACATAGCAAATTCAGACAATAATTCAAATTCAGATTTTATACATTACTAAAAAAATGTTTATTTATCTGTTACCATAGAGCTTAAATGACCAAGAAAAATTTGGCCACATTAATGAAAATTTATTTTTATTGTATACTAATTTCATTCATTTTTTTACATTGATTATGACAGAGTGTAGATTAAATGAATAATTTCTCACCAGTAATCATTTATCTCCTAAACAATTAGACGTTTAACTTACAACTCATTATTTTAAGTACTCAGATTGAATTAATAACCAATATCACACTATGCTTCACTTTAATTTACTTTAGTTCTTAAAAACGATGATCAATCAAAATATTAGTAGGATCAAGTATCATTAGAATGAAAAAAATTTCATTCCATCCCTCTTTACAATTCTAAACCAACCGAAATGGTATGTTTGATTACATCATCATCATCATCATCATCATCATCATCATCATCATCATCATCATCATCATCATCATCATCATCATCATCATCATCATAATCATCATCATCATCATCATCATCATAATCATCATCATCATCATCATCATCATCATCATCATAATCATCATCATCATCATCATCATCATCATCATCATCATCATAATCATCATCATCATCATCATCATAATCATCATCATCATCATCATAGTTTTCATATTTCATAAAGTCAGTAATATTTAAAACTATACATTCCTGTTACCACACTCATACTAAATGACATGCAAAAACTTAAATTATTTCCGAAAGAATATATATCAATCTTTTATTACTAATACTCATTGTTAATTATTTATACCTGGAATAAGGAACCACTACAATTCTCATGTCATGAAGTAAGAACTCAAATGACTGGTACTAGTGAACATTTATTGCCTTTAAATTAAACATGATGACTGTAGTCAAAAATACACTGATTTATACATTGATTATGTTATGACTATAAAATAAGAAAGCCGTATCCGATTCGTTATGATTTTATGTCCAGCTTTTATCACGTGATTTATCCACCAATCGAAATACGACCTGTCTAATCTGAACAATGTGCCAATTCAATGACGTTGGACCAGTATGAGCAGTTTAGCGTCCTTATTGGTCCCTTGTCCGCTTAGCCCTTCCAACTGAGTCCAAAAAAACCGATTTCAGCTTCTGCTGTGCGAATCATTTATTTCAAGCATACTCGGTTTATATACCAGACAGATAGACCGCATCACACCATAAAATGGAACATAATATTTGCACAGAATCAAGCTAAATGTGACTGTGAATGTGGGGTACAGTAATCAATAAACTGAATATAATTTATGGACAGTAAATCGTATAATAACAATTCATAACATGAATATAGATATACACAATATAATAACTTAATAACTTAATAGTTAAACAATAAGAATATATATATAATAATAATCCATTAATAGGCCCTGGGAGTTACCCGTACTTATGTCTTCACCAGGATATAACAGATTACATAACCATTCTGATTATAATAAATCACATGCTCCATATCATATAGAACATAGTTAATGTTAATTTAATACAAAAAATACCATTTCTTGAATAACATATCATTATTGAAAACAAAACAAATATTACATTGAATAATCGTCATAGTGAATTAAAAATGTAGGTAATGTTGAACATGCATCATAGTCAGTTAAAAATGTAAGTTATATCACTCATGGAACTTGAATTCTGACCGCTTCAGAAGAAATGATTGATTGGTTTCAGGGGGGAATTTCAGCCATATTGAATTTCAAAATACACCCGCTAGTAAATCAATTTTTAACATTAATAATACTACGTCGGTACTAAATATTTGTTTCACTTAATTGGCATTACAAATTATTATTGAATTTTTCTCTTTTATTCCGTTTGTAGCCCCTAGTTCGGCTCCATATTCTGTTGAAACAGTTACCATATCAGATGATTCCGTTTTAGTGAGTTGGAAGCCACCAAAAGAAGCAAATGGAAAAATTATTGTAAGTTTTTAATCCAAATTCTTATTTTACAAACACAATACGTTTGAACTTGCATTTTGATAACTAAATAATAATGATTGTATGTTTCATTTTAGTCTTCAAGATTCGAATTTTCATTTCACTACTAGCAAATGCTTTCCTACATTCAAAAATTATAATATTGTATAGATGACCCAAATTCAGAGAAACAGTATCTGTGCATGATAATAAACAATGATAATCTTCGTCTTCTCAGATAAACTCAACTGTTTCCTCATGATTACTGTTCGAGTGATGAGATGGCCGAATTAAGCTTCTATTTGATCTTTTTCATAAGTTCTTTATCGCGAAGTCAGTCTGTAAGCCAGGGGTATGAAACAAAATTGAGCTAACAATGTCTTGAATAATATTGTTAAAACAAACAACTGGAGAATGCCTATCACTGAATGGCAACCTGTTATTAATACTAAGTCAATTGATGTATAAAGCTAGAATTAATCATAGATAAGCAAATATTCTATGAATATTAGGGTGCATCTACAGAGAAACAGTCTTACCATTTTTCTCAAACAAGTAAGGTCAGAATGGTTGTTAATTCGAAAACAAACTCATTTATTATCATTGTAACAGAAAAAAAAATAATTTAAGCGTTTCTACCTGTTTTATGACATAAGGTTATACCTGACTGGCTAATCCACCGATAAACTAAATAGCTAGATCACCGAACTAGATCAAGTTGTGCACGCATATATAATTTCCGACGGACGATTGTGGAGCAGAGATTAGATATGAAACATAATTTACTGAAACAAAATATAGAACATTCATGCAGTATGAAGTTTGTGTAGGATTTTAATGAACTCTCTTTTTTTACATATGGAGATATTCTATGAACTTAGTATTTGTCTGTCGTCGCTCTCTGGACATTCATATCTTACATTTACTGCTAACTACTTCCATTATCAGATAATTCCAAGACCAAAAACTTGTTCACACAATGTAACGAATTTTAACTTTTATCTAATACACCCTGGAGTCACCGTTTAATAAGTTCTTACGTTTTTTCAATAAATCTAACAACCACTAATGAGATTTCCTATTATGCATGCAAACCAGTAATGGGCACTGGTAGATCACATAGAAAAACTAGTAGAAATTACTGAAAAATGTTTCTTCCTGTCCTGCTAGTTCTCATTGGTATTATTACAATCATTTTCTCCTCAGGAATCCTTATTTTTATTCAATACATTTAGCTTTAAAGGTGATAATCCTAAAAGTGTGATCCTTCAATAAGGAGATCGGTCATGATATCCAAGGTGATGATAATTTTACTGAATTAAATAGTTTTGTGATGTCACAGTTGACCTCACGAGTCGATATTAGTTAGACCACTATTGGAAACCTGGAGGCACTGGACGACCGTTTCTTCCTAGTATGGGACTCCTCAGCAGTGCACATCTACGATCCCTCATGCAGGACTCGAACCCAGGACCTTCGGTCTCGTGTGCGAACGCTTAAAATCTAGACTGCTGAGTCAGTGTCTGACGACGTTAATGTCTAAGTTGAATCAATCCATGATCTTGCACAACCCTTCATCCGTTGTTCTGTACTTCCAGGTTTTCAATGGCGGTCTAGCTTAAATCGAACCATGAAGTCAATCGTGAAAATACTGCAATCTCTACAAATCTCCATACTGATATGAATTCACAGATTCTTGTAATTCTTGAAAATTTTACTAACTTTTCAGTTAAATTCCTAAATGACTAAAATATCATTTTTATGAGGAAAAACTCTTTTATTAACTTGGTAAATCATATACACTGGTTATCAGTTGAATGTTAGATGAGAGGAATTACCTGTCTCTTAAGAAATTTTATAGTACGCAATATTTCCTATTATAAACTTTGTTTTCAGTCATACTTAAAAGGAAAGTCACCAGTGTCGTTATATTTGACTGATATTGTAAACTAGTGATAAAACTCCATTGAATGTTGCCTCCATTAACATTATTTTCGGAAACTACTCCCTTTTCAAAATCTTTGACATGATTTGTCTTGCTTTTCTGTGTCATAACATCAAAAAATTAGTTTTCTACACTTTAGTTATATTTATGTAACACCAGATTATAAGAGTCTCTCTTTGCTTCATTTTGTTGGCTGTGTCCTGTTCTCAAGAGAACGCTTATCATAATTAATGGTCACAATCACGTTTACTCAACGATGGGTTCGATAATTTTGTACTTCTATTTAACTACTTGTAAGTAGGTTAATAATATATCTAAAATATTCAAGAAAAAATTGCTCGTAATGAATACCTATCAAACCTATGGCGTGAAATAATCCTTCAAAATAAAATGCATAAAAATTGTTACTTGACACTTCATACTGTCAATATGTATAGAATACGTTTCATTTGAGTTTCATTATGCTATTAAGATTGTATAAAGTATATGAAAGTAAAAATATTTTATTGATGACTTGAACATGTAATACTTGGTAACAAACTACTTATGATGTTAAAAGTGTTGTAAACAAAGTTCTTAATTAATTTTGCCTAATGATTCATCTTCAAACTAAATTATTTGTATTACATAACTTTTCAGCTGAATGTTTATGGCATAAACCTTATTTACCATCGTCAGTATTCAGTAAAATATATTTGAAAAAAATTACATCTACATTAAATAAAGCACTGGAAAACCTATTGAACTCTGAATACATATAGACTCTTAAGACAAGCATATACGTTTGAAATACTTATGTTACATAAAAATGACGGAAATAGCATACTGGCAGTGTATAGGAAGAGAACACTATTGGGGACAACTGAATGTTATTGAGATAGATAATTACAGAATCTCTTAATAAATTCTGAGAATTATACAGTAAATAATTCACTTTTAAAATGTCTATCAAACGTCTCAAACTTCCTTCAGTTTCATATCAATCACTCTCTGTTCTCGTTCTCTTCTCTACGATCTTCTCAACCCTCTGCCGCCAGGCATTCCATTTTTGATTGGCGATAATTACTACTTATATCTGCCGATATTGGTATCACACGCCATATCAGTAAATAAGATTCAGTAAAATTGTAGACTGAAAGGTTATATGATAATCCACCCATGTGATATATTGTTGTCAAATTGTATTAGACGTTTATGCTGCTGGTGCTTTCAGAAGTACGATGAAAGCTCCATGACCATAACACCCAGCACAGAGAACGAAATTCCATCAAAATAAGTAACTTCTGACAAATTCCTTTAGATTCGTTTTTTTGCTTATCTCAATGATCAAAAACATTATCATTATTACATATTATGAAAACATATTCATAATCTACGAAATTTTGTGACTTCTTATCCTGTGTTATATCGAACACAATATAAGAATTAATAATATTGAACATTCGAGGCAACTGTTCAAACATATAATAATCATAATTTCCCAGTAAATTGTGTATGCCTAATCAATAGACACAATACAACACTAAACACGGATAAGATCGTTTTAGTGGAGTATGAACCGACTGATAGGTACAAACAGGACATACAATATACTAAATTTAAATTTGTCAAGTGAGTCACACTAATGAATTCCTATTCAGTGACTCAGTGATGAAAGCTTTTTCCTGACCGTGTCAAAGTCTATTCTTCCTTTACCTTCAAATAGAAATCTTCCGAGGAAATTATCTGGATCACCGTCATTTTGTGATATGTTCTTTAGTTTATCTGTTCCGTTATTTACACTACTTTCAGAACATAATAGTTCTAGTCTGTTTCTGAGACATTTAACCAAACTTATTTTTTATTGAAGAGGTGTTAAGCTATAAAAATGGGTACACTGACCCGTCCATGTACTTTTTCTAAATACATTTATTTTAATGGAACCGTCTATCCTTCTAGAAAGCAGGACAGAAAAGAAAACTATGCTACTGCCGTTCTCCTCTGCGTTGGTGAATTTAGTAGCTGATTGAGCGTTATGGAAGCTGGTTAATAGCTCTTGTTTTTTCATACGTTTGTCATACACGATAAGTGTGTCGTCTATGTATCGACAGTAATAAACTACCTTATTTAGAATGTCTTTCTACGGTCAATTTTCCAGTTTGTCTAGAAAAAGTCATGCTAATTTTATTTCCCTTTCATTCGAATTAATTACTACTCATTGGATTATTCACAGATGCAATGGTGTGCTTAATTATTTGGTTTTTTATTACAGGGTTATAATGTTTTCTACAACAGAAATCCACAGGGTCCATTAAATCACTGGCAAAAAGTTGGTACACAATTTGAAAGTGTCAAACTGGAAAAATTGTTCACATCGGAAACTTATTATATTCGTGTGAGTGCCCAAAATTCAGCTGGTGATGGTCCTTTGACTGATTCACACGAAGTATTGGTCAAATTTGGAAGTAAGTTAATTGTTTATGAACATAAAATTTAAGCATATTATTATAATTATAAACGCTGACATTTTTACAAGCTCACACTAGTTACTTATCAGTAGTATGTATTTTTTTCCGAAATAAAAAAGCCTAGTAAATACAAAATCTAATTTTCAAGCAAACAGAAATAATCAGTCATTCTGTAATTTAAAACCATCTTCATCAGAGAATAACTTATGGGATAATTGAAATTTTCAGACTGCTGAATTTAAAACTATGTTAACTGTATCTTTCCATCTGATGTAACATTGCGTAATCCATTTAAGCGTTAACGAAGTAAGGTTATTTCTTGATCTCAAGTATTTGACAATAATAAATTACAGAATAAATCTCTCGAAATTTTCCATACTATTAACAATACGGAAAAAGGTTATTATTTATGTATACCGACTCTACATTCTAGGACTTTCATAATAGTCTTTTACTGACACTGAATAATCTCAAAACCATTGATCGGTACCGTTACCATGTTGACTACTGTCTATTGCTAAATACTATGAGTTTATTGTTTGTAAGCATGCTTAATACTTGCACCTGCAATGGAGAAGTTAAATCTCAGTATATAGTTTAGTAGTTAAATATTAAATGTTAGGTGGTTAATGCTGATCAACAGCTAGCGTTGAAATTAGGTTTCTTGATAATTAGTACGTATAAGTAAAACCTATCTGCAATACTAGCGAATATGTTAAACCTAGTACAATTAGAGCTTTGATGATATTACAGCGCGAGCCGCAGAATTAGATTATTTCTCAGAAACAGAAAAATATAAAGTTGATCAGTCAGTAAAAATTGTATACTTAAATTTTTTTTTGAAAATCGAATGGTTACTATGGTATCTCATAGTGAAAGCTGATAGATCCACTAACTTAATTCCACTTTATCATCAATTTTAATAAATTATAGAACAAATATTTTGGCTGTAGAGTTTATGATTATATACTTACATTTTGTGAGATCATATAAATAAAAATAGAAAAATTAAAATTGGCGAGACTTTAATTTATGGACCACCATTGAACGAATCTTAAATGACATTTAGAAACGCTAGCCAATCAGGAAACGGTTAGTATAGAATAAAAATATGTATTACAAAACCAAAGAATCAAAATGGATACACTTCTTTTACGTGGTTCAAAAACTTGTTAGGGTTAGAAGTAGGTTCAAAGGTTCTAAAATCGTAACGCAGACGGTAGAGTGACTCATCCATATGGCTCCATAATACTCGATCTCTGTAATCATGATAAGTTCGCAAATACTCTTCGAAACCTCCTCCACATATATTTAATATTGTTTGTTTGCACTCTGGCTTGTCACTTTTATTACGCCTATATCTCTAAAATACTCATACGACTGAACGGCCGAAGCTTCAGTAACGTCTGCGAATATTACAGCCAATGCTACTGGTGCTTTTATTACACAGTTCGCAGCAATTATTATAAGTTGCCTTAATCTAAATTTGGACTGAGTGTAAAACGTTCCTACTCTAGCATACTTCCTCATCCAATATATATTACATCGAAAGACATCATAACGATAGTCTGTGCAGTGTCTAGAATTCATTTGATTAGCGAAATTACAAATAAAGGAACTTCTTAGTAGCCCCATTTATTGTAGACGCTTAATTGTCACGTCTTCTCTAAAATCTTTTGTGAACCGATCGTACGTGAGCATCAGGTACTGGAATTGGCGCTGTGACCTTGAGATCCCTCAAACGCTTCAGATTGGCTCGTTCATAAATTATAGTCTCGCCTGAAAATTTCCTATAGAATTGATTTTTGAAGCCTGAAATTAAGTTTCATTTCTATAGCACACTCATCTGATTTCAAAAGAATTATTTCATATGTTAATCGTTTACCCCGAATGACCAGACCACTGATAGAACATTCTCTAAAATTAGAAGTCTTTTTTACTGAAAAAAATCATCAAAGTAATTAGGAAGTGTGAGTTCTAGCTAAAATTTTTGCTAAAAATTGTATACTGTCAATCAATAACATTAATGAACTCAAAAGACGATAAGGGTTGTCATTTTTCTATGATGAATTCGGTAAGCAATCAGTTAATATTAACTGAATTGTCCTTGAGAAATTTTTTTGTTGTTGTAATGAAAGATGATTTCTGATATCTTTGTTGAACTTCGTTACACTCAAGAACGATATCATAATGCTCTTTTAAAAATAGAATTTTCATTTTCATCTATTCAACATTAAATCTATGGATTCTTAGTTGATGCCTATGAAAATTACCATTTTCAATTCATCTAAGAATCATTTAACTAAAGACCTGAAACAATTCTGGTAGTGATGAGTAAATGAAAAACCAGAAATCATCGCTGTTGGTGAATATCTGTATTTTTTGCAAAGAAAGAATATCTTCAACTAGTCATCATACAATCTAATTTAATCCATACTCAATGGAATAAACATTTATTAACTAACTGTTATTGAATAGAATATTGATAACCCAATGTGATAAGTGTCAGATGAATTTATAGAGTATTTATATGAGTAGTTGAAAAGATGACTTCAATTTCGAGCGTTATTACTTCGTGTACAAATATCAGTTTATGAAATATTGATTACCATGCATTATTTTAATATCTTCAGTTGATCGTATCAGTATTCAGTCAAAATCCAGATTTTCACGCTCACAAACTTAAATTTATTTCTGAAATAGTGCGAAATTACCAGGGGTCATTTATAGGATTGTAACTCAATCCTGACATGGCTGAAGAAGTCTTATCATAAATTTGATAGTTTACCTAGAGTTTAATCAATAGTGAACAGTAAACCATTGAATATTTTGTTAATTCAGGTGATTAGTTCAATAATGAGAATGTTTTCATCAATAAATGATTTCAGCTAATGATTTACTGAAATCATGCATTTATAAACGACTATCGTAACTTAGTTGGAGACTAATCAGCAGTGAGTACCCATGACCTTATTACACAGAAAAAACAAATCAAGTTCTCTTTGATCATAATAACAATATAAATTTTCTTTGTCCATAAAAGCTTCTCATCACTATCATATAAGAATTAATTAAAAATCATTCATTCCGATGTTTTTATTTCTATTTTCTTTTTACTTTATACAAATCTAGTTTCTAGTAAAGAAACTAAACTAAGTAAATTAATTCGACTTTTTTCTAGTTTTAAACAAACAATTTATTTCTATGAAAAAAGGGGGGTGGAAAAAGTAAAAATACCAGTTAAAAATCTATAAAAAAACAAACAAAATAAGACAAACATTTTCTGTCGAGTTTTTTTGTTTTTTTCCACTCCATTTCTTTTAATTGATTTAGAAAAAGTTGATCATTTCACCATAGTTACTCAGTCACGAAATGAGTCTCCAAGAAAAAAAACAATTAGATTCCGCAGATTTTTTTCTTTTTTCAATTATTCTTTTATCATAAATATTTTTCTAATAGTTTGTTTTATATATTTACTTTTCATTTACCAGCCTTAATTCAATAAATTTATATTTAACCCATAGAAGGAAACTGATGGGATAGAATAGCGAATTACATAAATATCCTTTAGAGATAGATGAAATTTGTCTATGGTAGTTGATCACTATTCATTTTACCCTCTAAATTTAATTACTGATGAATTAGAAGAAAAATATTCTTTTTTTCCTTGTTCGTTTTTTTAAGTTTTGATAAAATCCAAAGTATGACATTGTGTTCATTATGAAGTCTTCTAATTGAGTATGTAATATAAGAGTCCATATTTTACGAGTTTTATCGTAATATTACGTTATTTACAATTACGCGTTGATCTGTATGGATTCCATTAACTGAATATCAACTAATTAGATTTAATAAAAGAAAACTGATTTCATATTGTTAATGAATTGAACAGAATATACATTATGTTGAGATTTCTAAGCAGCTTATTAGCAGATATCAGTTAATAGCGTTGTTGGCTTTAAGGTTATTATATGACGTAAGTGAAATCTGTAGTTCATTATCAGTTCCTCTAAATGAAGATGTACGCTTGACAAAATCCCATCAGTATAGATGGATTTACATAACTATTTCTCACAATGTATAATTAATACATAAATAGTTTCAATACTGGTCCCAATCTTTGAAAAATTATTCTGCACTAAATTTACAGTACATGAAAGAAAAGAAAATGTTGAAGAAACTGAGGGCAGTTTAACAAAATTGGATGGTAATTTTATAGTTGAATTCATGAGCCAATTAAAGCTAGACCGCTATAGAAAACCTGGAAGCACTGGACTGAAACACTTGTCTCAACCAAAACTCAAAAATCTTCACAGCCCTGTGCTGACAATTATCACGTGCTCACTAGTGACTAACTTAAAGATGGATTTTCTGGAGTTCTGGTGAGAAGCAGTGACCAATGGAGTTCAACCGGGTCTGTTATGAGATAGTAACTCACTGAACACAATGGTGGACGGTCACGCAATATTGTGGATTGGTTGAATTTAGACAGGTACAGCGTTATGGAGGTTGAGCGTTCGCGCACGAGAGCGAAGGTCTTGGGTTCAGATCCCATGACAAGGGTTACGAATGTGCTCTACTGAGGAGTCCCATACTAAGAAGAAACGTCCATCCAGTGTTTCTAGGTCTTCCATGGTGGTCTAGCATCAATTGACTCATGAACTCAACTATTATATTAAGTGTTTAACTAACTGATTAAAAAAATATTCTTTATTTGAGAAAATTATCTTTGAAATAATTTTAGCGATTGAAATTTAAGTAATTACAATGTTCCGTCCAGCCTTAAAATTAGATTGACATTCATCAACAAGATTTCTTTTAAATGAAGCAGGATTTAATATACTCCATGTAATTCAAATCCGTATCACTTTGTATCAGAAACAGACATATCGCTACTGAGTAATTCACTCACAGATCAAATCACCTTAAGACTAAATATATGGACCCCATTATTTTCAATCTTTCCTTTAATCAGTTATCATCAATGCACAATGCACTAGATGCTATGTCACTTAAACTGGCAAAAAATTTGAAGCATAATAGACAGGTCTTAATCATCCATAAAGAATAGACAATTGAATGATCAATTTGCTGCTTGGAAATAGTCTCACATAGTAGTTTCAAAGATATCGAATAATCAAAAAGCATACCTAATTATTATAATTGTTACCATCATCAACATCAGAGTATTAAGTGATTGTTTTTCTGTGACAAGTGGTTGACTTTATCGAACAACCTAAAATATATTATGATTTTTAAATTCACTTGGTATTGTTTGTTTGAATCTTCCCATTGCTGTTTAGGACTGCGATTGATTAGTCTCTGATTGGCATATGTGCATACTGTGTGCATTGCCTCAATATAGCCTTAATTCACAAGCATTATAAGCAAACATGAATAGTGGCTAGTAGTGGAATCCAGGACGGACAGTATGCACATATGCCAATAAGAGACGGATCAGTCGCAGTTCTAAACATCAATGGGAAGATTCAAACAAACAATATCAATTGAATTTAAACTTAGCCGCAATGCACAAGCAAGTGACTATCAGGACCCAATAGCTGAGTGGATAACTTGATGACGTTTAAAGTGAACGGTACGGCATTCGAGTCCCAGAGTGAACATGCACTTTGAGATTAAGGTACATCCTGCCGACGAGTCTCAAATAGGACTAAACGAGCGTGCTGGATTCCACTGCTAGCCATTATCCATCTTTGCTTATAATATTATGATTTTTGTTTCATTCTTCTTCGATAAACTGAAATTTCCTATCGTCATTATAACCATTATTTTTAATTTTTTTTCCATCATACTTCATATTCATTTCATTTTAAACCACGTATGCTGGTATTGTTGTTGTTGTTTTCTTTTTAAAGAATAATTTCCTACATTTTTGTTTCTTTCCAGCATAACAATTTTATATCTATTTTGATTTCACCGTTTTTCTTCTTTGGTTATTTTCTTCTTCTTTTACTTCCTCATAATAATCAGTCTTCTGCCAAAATGCATTCTATGTCTGACCATCACCATACACTACTCATGTGGATATAAGTAGACCACACCACAATATTACTTTGAAGATAAACTATGATTACTGTTAGATTTTTGGAAGTTGCTAGCATACCAAGTGAAAAACATTAATCATTACTGTTATACCATAGAAAGAGCCGTATTGAATAGAATTTCTTGATGATATCCTTGGAACAAACTATTTGCTTTACATGTTACAATTCGAGCGCGTTTTATTTTCACTGTACAGGAATAATATTTAAACTGAGATATGTGCGGAGTTAATTTGATAAAACATTACTTAGACTTTTCAGTAAAGTCCATCCCAATATTAATTTCATAATGGGAAGAAAAGGTTTTCTTATTTCTTCGATTTATATATTTTCAGAAGAGATAATGGAACCTGTTAAGGGTATGTACATCGAAAAGAGACCTGGAGTTCGCAATATCCAAACTTTAACAACTTTTGGCTATGACTATCTGTTGGTGTTTAAAGCTTAATACCCTATCTCTAACCTCTATATTGATCATTCGTTTTTTCCAACCAAAAGCATATAATACTTTAAAGACCACCGTAATCGATATAATCTAAGGAAAACTTATATTATGCCACTAATTTTCCATTATCAAACCTTTTGCATCATAATCAATTGGTCATTTATTTTTCCTTTCCGTGTCCACCAACCCAGTTAAAGCGCCGGACATTCGCTTTTCGTCCTCTCAATTTAGTAAACAACACCCCCGGCACGAGAAGGCAGTGAGTAGGACTTCCCTGGCAGAGGCTATATATGCATGGCCATGTGAGATCATTTCAAGAGGGAGAGCGGACTCTCCCTACTGTCGGCCGTGCCAGGGCATTTGAGGACCGAATTAACATCCATACATTCCATAAATGATTTTTTATAATTAAACTTAAGTTGTAACAGATCATTTCATATCATATGAGCTGATTGGAAAATGTGTAGCCACCATCAAATTATTGAATTTTTTGGAATTAATAAGAAACAACAACAATTTATTGAAAAACGATCACATGTACAAACTGCCTCATACAATTAACACATCTATTCAATCCAATGAATTACTAATGTTTCTAAGCATAACAATAACACGAAATATATATAATAAATATTATTATTGTATTTGTTATTTGTTAACATGTTTATTGTTTTCTTTTTTCCAACTATTGCTTTAAATGAATTCTAAATTAGTACCTTCACAACCTCGTGAATTTATTGGTTTAAGCTTTGATCCGAAAGAAATACATCTTAATTGGATAGCACCTAATTTACCTGGAAAGATTAGTTTACAAGATTATTTACTGAAATATCGTTTAGCAGTTGACATGAATCGCGATAAAAGTAAACAACAACAACAACAACCGATGGAGGTCAAGTTGTCAGCTGATCTAACTGAATATTTAATGGAAAATTTAATTCCAAATTCAACTTATCACATTTCTTTAGCTGCTCGTACAAAATATGGCACAGGGACTGCAGCAGAAATTATGGTGCAAACTGACAGTAATGGTAAGTGTTAAATTATTCGTGAATTTTAATTTGAGGTGGAATGTTCAACAAGTAATGAAGCGGTTTGTAGAACATTTCTTGTAAGTGGAATTGCAATCAACAAAAATACAGGTGATAGACAACCAATGTGTTTTAGTAGATAACTACAGAGTATCTTGGTAATATATGAGAACCACACACTGAATACTTCATTTGCGAATTTCCATCATTTGTCTTTCACATTCAGTATAATTCTTCCGATTCACGATTCCTTTCTAATTCCGTCTCTGTTTTCTCTTCAGTTTGATCTTCTTAGCCTTATGCTGACGGGTCTTTAATTTCTATTGATGTCACATACTACTTATATCTGTCGACACAAGTAGCATACACCACAATATTATCTCAGCAAGACCAATCAACTAATCTTAAATATATTGAGTTTTGTTTGTAAATACGATTTTTATAAAATAAATGTTATTTTATGGAAAACGGAAACCCTTGGCTGCTTTTGAATGTGCAACCAATCTAAACAAACGTTTGTTTCTGATTTATTTGTATTGACCGTTTGAAACTTCTCATCGGTGTATATAACTGAAATCAATGTCTGTTTCGCATATGTGTATCCTGTTCAGATAGTCTCAATATTTTTTATAAAAATTATAAACCTAAGTGAATCGTAGCTAGAAGCGAAATCAAGGATGCACTTTTTGTCACATTTAAGACATATAAGCTGGATTTACGTGGATCCTTCCTTTCGTTTTAATATCATACGACCAACGTTTCTTTACAGAATAAAAATCCCTAGAAATAAAAATTTTCAAGGTTGGACAAATTGTTCCTGAAAGTTTACTTGACTTACGGAGGGATCGACTTTCTGCCAAGACATTCAGTGATTGAGCAATGCCGATAAGTTAAATTTTAAATATACGTTAAACATTATAGCCTTCAGTCTCAATTTTATTAAGGACGTTAGGAATTTACTGTAAATCTTAAATGCCAAGTTTAGTTTATTGTGTTGTCTCAGTTTAGTGAATGAACATACTTTGGATGTATTTGAGGTATTAACACAAGTAATTAAATTTTATGCCTTTAATTAACTAACAAGAAAAATGATTTACTCAATTATTTTAATTTTATGGTCACAAAATTCTTTAGACAAATCCAAAATTTAGTCTTAGTCTACAATGACAGGGGATTAATAAAATGTAAGTCAGATGTACAACCATAGTATCACTAATGAACATAGTCATTTATCCGAACTGGGGGTTTCAAAATCACATGACATATTGTCTATTATTTGTGAAAATAATGGACATCTTTTTACTATTTAACAAATCATAGTCTTGTTCCATTGATTACTTGGCTTTCAATCAAAAAAATTAACTGATTTAACTGTTGTGCCAAACCTAATCAATGACTGGTGTTTAGTAGCCAAAGTAGTCAGTATCGAGAATTATATGCACTATTTGCTTTTTTGTATTATTCGACATTCAAGAAACTAAAAAAATTAATGATGGTACTTTCTAATATGATTACTAGTTTTGGTGTGCGTCAACTATGAAATATTTAGTTGATAAACTACAGAAAAACGTGGATTTCATTATCCAACTTATCAACGAGGTATATTACTAGTTTTGTGAAAAAAACGATTCTCTCACAATTATCTAAATACAAAATACAAAGCACCACAATCAGATAACGATCTATTGAAGCTTTCTGCGGATGACTAGCCTATTGGATTGTGACGGTTACAGAATGTTAAAGGATGTCAATGATATCAGTTAGATTGTGTCTTACAGTATAATCCAGAACAGGAGTTTCATCCTATTCGGAAACAATTAGCTGGAAACTATAGCTAAAACTAAATAGCAAGGATCAATATCTATTAATTCAGACTGATCAGCTTATTGAAATAACCATTGGCTTTTGATGTAGACTTTACTGCTAATCATAATCTAATAATAAAATTACTGTTTGAAATAAGTTTGTCTAACCATATAACTTTCAAAATACAAAACCCTAAAATTTTCTCTTGAAATTATTGTACCAGAGAGCATTTTAACAGATCATCACTTTTGTAGGATAGAATTTCACATAAGGTAATAAAGAGATTGCATAAGAAGAATACCAAATGGAAGAGTATCTTCCTCATTAAGAGTGATATTTACAACTTTAAAAAAACAACTAAACTCTGTCTATAAACTATGTTGATTTTCAACAAATGAAAACTATTCACTGTATAACGATCAATTCAAGTTACATTTTGAGTTTGATTATTAAAAAAGGTCATCTTGAAATAATACAATAAATGATAGTATATTCGATAATATTTATTAGAATTTATCAATAGATGTGAATAAAGTCAATTGAAGCTAGACCACCATGGAAAACCCGGAATCACTGGACGGCCGTTTCGTTCTATTGTAAGACTTCTCAGCAGTGCGCATCCACGATCCCGCCTCGCGAGATTCGAATCCAGGACTTATCAGTCTCACGCGCGAGCGCCTAAACTCTAGAACCACTGAGCCGGTATCCAACGTTGTTAATGTCAAACTTCAACCAATCCACTAAATCGATCAATCGTCCACCGTTGTCTGCAGTGAGCTACTATCTCCCAACAGACTTGGTTGAACTCTACTGGTTACTGCATCTCACTAGAACTCCAGGAAATACCCCATGGAGCCAATCACTAGTGAGCATATAATGCTTATCAGAAGGGGGTTTTGTGGAGATTTTAGTAATTTTAGATAGTTGAAATCATCAGTCAATCGAAGCCGTCCATTGCTTCCAGGTTTTCCATGGTGGTCTAGCTTCAATTGACTCATGATTTCAACTATATAATATTAACAAAATCTCCACAAAACCCCCTTTAAATGTGAATAACTCAATCAAAAAAATTTTTAACAAACAATTTCCATGGTACAATAACATTATAAACCATAAACACTTGGCAAACAGTCAATTCATAGTATTCATAGAGGCAAAGAGATGTTAATTCGATTAATCAACAGTGGATTTGGAATTGAACTATGGGATACGAATAAAAAGGAAATATATAATTATGTTGATTCAATTACTAACAGCTTCTATATATACACTACACTTTTTGTTTCCTTGTTCCCTAATACTTATTTCATATTCACATGGAAGATTTGTAAGCATTATATATATATATATATATATATATATATATATATATATATATATATATATGGGCGACTGATTATTTAATCATCAGTTTATACATCTACAAACTTCTATTTATGTTTCTCGTTTACAAACTTTTGATTACATAAACAAATAAGTGAAACTTTTTCACAAGATAGAAGAAAAAGCAATAAATAGAATGCCTCCCTTAGAGTGACCTTTAGTATTAATCCAAATAATAAAAATAAATTGTAGATGAATGTATTTAATAAGCATCTGTTTATAATTATGTATCATTCACATTCCACATTCTTCAATGATAGTAACAATGAAGGTCATCCTCAGGTTACTCAACAATATTATATTACTACAAACAATGTTAGAGGGGAAGGGGAAAAAGACAATAAATAATGATTACATTTAATGCAGGTACAACGTTTCATGGAAAATGAAATGTTAACATAAACAAATTCCATTTAACCTTTTCATTGATTCGTTAAAATAACTGTTAATAAATAAACCAAGTTCATTTCCAAAATGTGTGTCTTACAATTTGGATATGGCTACACCTTAGAAACTTAGATTTGATAACCTACGCAAGGAAAATGTGAGATTATTTTACAAAGACATTGAATATGTTTTTTCCATAAGTGTAGAATACTTTTAATATGATTGGTTTCTAATATCTACTTGGGAAAAAACGTTCTAATTCAGTAGTTCAGTTTGGTTGAACTATTAAAAAAGTAAGTAGAGATGGATAGTGGCTAGCAGTGGAATCCAGGACGTGCGTTTCGTTCTATTTGGGACTCGTCAGCTGGATGTACCTGCATCTCAGAGTTGATGTTCACTCTGGGACACGAACCCAGTACCCTCGCTTCAAACGCCATCGCGTTATCCACTCGGCCACTCAGTGGCAATACGCACAGTACGCACATATGCCGATTTGAGACTGACCAGTTGCAGTCCTAAACACATTGACGGGAAGATCCAAACAAACAATACTAAGTGAATTCAAACTTCACCCCATCGCACAAGCAAGTGGCTATCAGGACTCAGTGGACGAGTGGATAACGCGATGGCGTTTGAAGCGAGGGTACTGGGTTCGAGTCCCAGAGTGAACATGAACTCTGAGATGCAGGTACATCTAACTGACGAGTCCCAAGTAGGACGAAACGCGAGTCCTGGATTTCACTGCTAGCTACTATCCATCTCTGCTTACCATGCTTGTGAATTAAGGTATATCGAGGCAATACGCACAGTATGCACATATGCCAATTAGAGACTGACCAGTTGCAGTCCTAAACACATCGATGGGAAGATCCAAACAAACAATACTAAGTGTATTAAAAAAGTGTTTTCAAATTAAAGGATAAAATAAAGAATTTACTAAGGATATAATCCAAATTAATTTCATTGTAATCGCTTCATATCAAGTATCTTTCTTTCTGTAGTTCTTGCTGTTAGAAACAAAATTACATTGCCGATAGCTCAAAAAAATTATTCAGCCTACTTTGTTATAATCAGAATTCACCCTTTTATCACGGGTCATAATAGCCGTGTGTACATATGGATAAGGGTCTTGGAAGATATAACTACCAAAAACTCTTTCTAATGTTTTAGTTAAGTCTACTACTATTTAACAGTGAGAAAAATTGAGATGCCTTAGACTGATGCTTCACTTAGTATTTTATTTAGTACCCTAATGTACAGCTATGTTCTTTAAACCTTTTCTTTCGAATCCTTCCTCACATAATAAACGTCATTTACTGAAAGAAACTACTGTTGGTGAAAATCAGACAAATCATCTGAAAAAAGTTGTTGATATAACTAGAATTCAGCTATTGTATTTGTGATTATTCATTTAAAAGACGTCTTGTTCACGCCAATCATTCAGCTGACTCATTTTAAATGAGCATCTCTCAGATAACAGTCAGTAAAATTAGAATAAAACTCGCTTTATTTAGTTTCGGAAAAAATTATCAGTACAAATAATCGTTGTGAACTTTATGGACGACACAGTTTTTTATTGTCAGTTGTCTGAGAAAATCAAAATGCATTACGAAAGAAGATGGTATATTATGAAATACACCGTGTTTTGATTTGCCATTAAACTGGGTGGAGAAGTTCTGATACCTCCTTAATCCACATGGTGGAGATATATGCTATCCGTAAGACTCCAGGAAGTAACGGTACATGCTATGGTGGATCGCAAACAAGTATGTTGCTAAATGTTATGAGGTCCAAAACCAATACATGATATTAGTTCACGAATTTGTTGACTGCTGATTCAAGTATTGTCAATTAGTGTAGAGTTTCCGGTTGTGGTTGACAAGTTCATCATAACCGATGGTTGGAGATTTCTAATTACATGATTCAAAATCGGTACCAGTGACTTGGTGACATTCGTTGTCCATTCCTCACTAAATACTCAGTTTTTTATTGTTATTTTTCATTAATTTGTTTCCCATTACACTTCTGGTATTATTGGTCACTTTTACTCCTTATGGTTCACACCAGTTGATTTAACACCAACACCGTGGTGTATTCTTATTCAGCTGTTGAGTTTTAAATAAGCTGAAACTTCCACTGCTGACTGCTACCTGATTCTACTTACAGATGAAGAGTTTAGCCACGTCAGACGTGAAATAACTCTCTGTTTCAAATCAATGTTTATCAAAAACTCTTACTCTAAATAAGAAAATATGTAATATAGATGACATTCGTTAAACTGTAATGGTACAATTATTTTTTTATAGTTGACGATGTAATGATTTCTTCGTAATCAGTTCATTAGTACCGTAGTATATCATTCATTTTCTAGGAGATAAGATAATTATTTAGGAAGTAGTTTTTAAAAATCAGAAATGACTAATTTATACTCTTCAAATTATCATTCTTTTTATTCCATCCAGTTCCTGGACCACCCATTCTACACGAACTAAGCATTTTGGATTCATTCAGTATACGTATTCGTTGGTTGGCACCACATGGAGTTTTAGACCATATTAATATATCACAATATTTAAGTCGATTAAGTAATACATTGACAAGAACTGAAAATCCATCTAAAGTTTTGCATTATTTAGTTCAATGGTCAGCATTTCCATTTACAGATTGGGAACAAAAAAAAATAACTATTAATTATTTATATCCTATGCAACAAATTTATGAATATATTATTCATGGCCTTTTATCACGTACTACATATCGTATTAGAATAATGGCTGTTGGATCAGAAGGGATGAGTCCTGCACTTGAATTAGGACCAATTAAAACTAAAGGTCAAGGTGAGTTAATTAATTGTATGTACTAAACGTTTAACAAATTCATGTATTAACTTTTATGATCTGACATAAGCAAGTAAGTCTTTTAAAATTCCACGAACTTGATATTTCGTCAAAGATGACAATGAATGGACAGAATACAATGTAGTTACCTTTCATGACGCTTTTCTGTATGAAATATACCATGGAACTACAAAGTATAGTTATATTAGTGAATGAGTACTGATCAGTATTAATTTATACTAATCTTTGCTGAATGACTAGTTACTAAATGGGTATTCATTATTGTGAAGGCAAATAATGGATGGACTTTAGAAAAACAAGTAACAAATTAACTAATCTAATTTATTTTCGGTAAGACCAATAGACTGCAGTGCAAAATAACATACACTTAGATAAATCTAATTAAAGATTTATTTTAAAGCTAATTTTGTTTGTAGGATTAGTGTATTTGTAGATCATTCACTGAAGGAGGAATAAACCACTGATCCTCACACTTAATTTTATTCCACCTTATTATGAAATAACTGAAACAAATGTCTTTCAATATACTGTTGGGTAAATTTTAAGTATGTGAACACCCATTTTTTGTATAAAGATAATTATAAGCCAAACTCCTCCTAGTTTTTCATGTAGTAGGAAATTTTATTGACAAAATGTTCTTCATACATCATCTCTCTCTAACTATGAAATTTAGTATCCAATATGGTGAAAGTTGAACTTAATATTGTTTTAATTAACATATAAAGTGTTAACCATCTGTGAATGATAAGCTTATAGACTAGTGATAATTCAGGAATGCATCAGCTTACCATAAATGAATACTGTAACAACTCTTATGGAGATTTACTGTATTACCACATTATTGCTTATTGTGTGACAATTTTTGGATAATTTTCATTGTTGAAATCATGAGTCCATTGAAGCTAGACCACCACGGAAAACCTGGAAGCACTGGACGGCCGTTTCGTCCTATTACGAGACTCCTCAGCAGTGCGCATCCACGAAAAAGAAATATAAAAAGAATTTGAAAGAACACAGTTCTTTTATTGGTTGTGTCATAAAGGGATTGTTTATCATTATCAAATTCGGTATTTAAAGATTGTGTTACATAACTTCATGCAAATGATGTTTATTATAGGCATGGATTTAGATTATGAATGGCAAAACTGAACCCATCAATGTTATTGATCATCAAAGGCAGTTGATCTTCTAGTCTATTTAAAGCCCATGAGACAAGTAATGACTCATGAACTAGATAGAATGCGAATAACAGTTTTTTGGTATTATATTTCTTGTGATTTGTTTAACTAAAAGATAATTTCAATAGTAAACTTATATAACAGTTGGACGACGCAAAGAAGCTAGATAACACTAGACATTTGTATCTTTTTAGTTTGGCACAAGTCGATATTGTTACTTTATCGATTTATCAGTCGGTGACAACATTTTAAACTGAAACACAATAGTGAATGTTCGACTTAACATCTAAAGATTTTAAGTTATATAAAGAGTTAAGCTTATGTAACACCAAACTATAAAACATTTAACAATATTCATAGGGATAGCTTTCTTCGTCATCAGTACAAATCACACTAACATATAAAAACCGAATATGTTACTGTAATGGACAAATATGAGATTCATTTAGGGACATCTCAGGATTATTTACTGCAATATTCAGTGCTGAACGACTCAAATTCTTGATAGATAAATTAGTAATTCTACAAAGTTTTCTATCTAACTAAGTGACAACACTATTTAAATTGATAGAATAAAAAGCTGAAAATTATACAAATACTTGACAGTTATAAAATGTTCCCCTTTTTTGTTAATATTTAGATGTTTAAAACAGATTATCTCAAGATTGACTTATATTCTTTCTTAGTTAATCTAACACAAAACTACTGATAAATATATGTACATATATATTTCATAGTAGAAATCATGAATTGAAGTTAGACATTAACACTGTTAGATGCCGACTCATCGGCCTAAAGGTCAAGCGCTCGTGCGTTAGACTGAAATGTCTTGGATTCAAATCTCACGAGGCGAGATCGTGGATATACACTGCTGAGTAGTTCTACAATAGGACGAAACAGCTGACCAGTGCTTCCAGGTTTTCCAAGGTGGTCTAGCTTCAATTGACTCATGATTTCAACTATATAAAATTACTAAAATCTTCACAAAACCCCCTTCTGATAATATACATATATTTTGAATAAGGCAGGAATAGAAATTTTCAAATGACCTTGAAAATTCTTTAGTTTGCCCATTCTATCATTCTCATCTTATTTGCTTACTACATAATTACTGAATCGAAAAAATCGATAAGATTTGTTATTTTTTTCTTTTGATTGTTTATTTTTTTTTATGATTAAAAACTTTCTTTTGTTCAAACTAATCCCATAAGATGAAATACAGTTTTAAAAGGTATACTATATAAATAAGATTTTATAATAAATGTCAAAGAGATTAAACAGCTACTTTCTATTGATTTGACTGAAGCTAATGTAAAAGTCTAGAGATGGTAATAATAATAATAATTTAAATTATTTCAATGACAAAATATCTATAGTTTAACATTATTCATTAATAGTGCTGTACACAATCAAATTTCACTTAAGTATACATAGTTTAACTTAAATAATTACTTACTCCTGTCACCCCTCGTTAAGGAGTATAGGCCACACACCAATATTCTCCATCCAACCCTGTCCGGGGCAATCCCTTCCAGTTATTTCTAGTTAATATTCATCATTTTCATATCTGCTTCAATCTTTCAACGTAATGTGTTTTTTGGCCTTCCTCTTTTCCGCTTACCTTCCGGATTCCAAGTTGGCGATTGCCTCGTGGTGCTCTTGGTGATTTCCTCAATATATGTCCTATCCACCTCCAACGTCGTTTCCTAATTTCCTCCTCAGTTGGAACCTGGTTTGTTCTCTCCAACAGTAGGCTGTTGTTGATGGTATCCGACCAGTGAATGTTGAGTATTTTGCGTTGACAACAGTTTATAAATGCCTGTACCTTCTTGACGATGGATGTAATAGTTCTCCACGTTTCAGCTCCGTACAGTAAAACTAACTGTTTTGACGTTCATATTGCAGATTCGCACTTTGATATTCGTTGACAGTTGTTTTGATTTCGATATGTTCTTCAATTGTAGAAATGTCTTGCTTTGCCAATCCTCACCTTTACATCTGTATCAGATCCTGCTTGTTCATCAATGATGATTCTCAGATACGTGAATGTTTCTAAAACTTCCAGAATTTCACCATCAAGTGTGATTGGGTTAGTGTTCTCCGTGTTGTATTCGAGAATCTCGCATTTTCCTTTGTGTATCTTGAGGTCTATTGATGAAGAGACTGCTGCTACATTTGTTGTCTTCGTCTGTATTTCTTCGTGTGTATGAGATAGGAAAACCAGTAAAATAACAAATAATAAATAAAATCACTGATAGAAGTATACTCATGCTAATAGTTTGCTTGATGTAAATAAAACTGAACAATCTGTATAAATTCAATACGGTGTTTTTCTTATTGATAAGAAAGATTAAATGATAAACATAATTCTTATTCTAGTTGTTTATTTTGAAAATAGTTTATTTAAAGAGAATGAGTGATTCCATAAGTGGAATAGAGTATTACGATAAATAACAAGATGTATCAATATCAACCTTCAATAAAAGTCTTGATAGTGATTAATAATGATCTTTCAGCTCATTTAAAATAAACTTATGGTAAATTTTAAACCTATACAGTGGAACCATTAATCAAATCTTTTAGGATAGAATGTGAGTCAAATTTCCTAACAAACATTAAGTTAGAATTTCCTTACCATAAACTTCATGTGAAATGAAGTATTACCAGTCATCAAAAAAGTAATGAATAAATTATAGCTCATACATCTGATCCAGTGGTCAAACACTGAAGTCATAGACATAACTAGTAGAATTAAAAGATTTACGACACATAAAATTCAATGAGATTTCAATGACTGTAGGCGAATGTAGGCGAAATCACGGACAAAGTACTCTAGTAGCACTGTTTTGGGAAGTACACCTACACATTAAAAAACTGACATGATAATAATTTATCAGGTCAGTGTTTAGATCCATAACCATGCCAGTAGATAAAATCATAACGAGAAAAGAAAAAACGGACTGTAAATATACTCAATCTGCATGTTTAATGAGTGTTTAATAAATATTTAAACAATGACTCATATATACTTGTTTCGTGTTTATGAGACCTAAAACTTTGGGTATCTGATATGGCGTCTTTGATGGTAAAACAGTAACGTGATACAGTTTGTGATGCATATATAAATGCATAGATATACATGCGTGTGGGCTACGATGACTTTAATTATAGTAAAAGGATTTGTAATAAATAATCGGTACTCATGTTAAATTAATGAATATGTTTGATCCACTTGTACATCTCTCACTTATGTTTAATTCTAAATAAATATCGAGTTTATCATTTGAGTTCAATGAGAATGCTGAACTGAATAAATTGCTTAAAAAGCTTAATGCTACTTGAAACAGAAGAGGTGATAGTTTAGTAAGGGTGATAATTTATGCTTTAATAATTTTCTGTATAATTTGAACCAAAATAAATCCAGAATCTACATAGTTCTAGATTTCCAACGACAAAAATTTAAGTGGGAAATGAAAGATGAATGGTTTCGCTAGTAAATTACTATTGAGTAGAATGATTGAAATACTCAAGCAAAGTTTATCAGCTGTTTCTTATTCGTTGAAAGATCCCCATTACATTAAAAGACTAATATTTGAACGAAGAATATTCTTTTCGATAAATTCTCTTCAGGTTCTAAATATATATTTCCAAATTAATAAACCGAATAAATGGTCAAGTTAAAGGCAAAGTACATTGTTTAAAGCAATGTAAATTTAGGATTGTCATATCAAATAGAATAAAATTGTTAATGTTGGTATGACTCATATAGAATGTTAACTTGAATCTGTATATATGTTAAGT